CCCCAGTAGATGGCTCCCTCACCCACCACCTGTACAGCCTGTCAGTGTTAAAGTCTTTTAAGCTTCAACTTTAAAGTTATGATGTCAGAAATAGATATTTTGACCTCTTTCGTGTGCTTGTGATTTGCCTTTTTGCTGCTGGAAATTTTATTTGTACAAAACCTTTGATGAGTGGTTTCACTTTTTATTGCGCCCTTTAAGAAAAGCTGTGATATTCTCTCCTGCTGTATTCTGATTTTCTGCTTTTGACAAAAATATAAGAAAAAAACATGATTCTTCTACATGTATGTATTTGTCTCTCGCCATTTAAAAAGATGGCCCTGAATGGAAGTGAGACGAACCAGATCCTCTCCACTGCTCGGCCTGGCACCTGCAGAAAAAAGGCGGCAACGATCATCTTCACCCTGAGAAACGAAGTGAGCGGTCTTGTTAAAGCTCTTAAGCTTTTCCAGGTGGGTGCTTTATGAGCAGAGTTTATGATCTTCTCCTGTCTTTCATAATTGCCAAATGCCGAACCCTTCGTTGCAGCACATTTTGTTGAAACTTGATTGTGCTACAAACCCCTGTGGGCCGTGTCTGTGCAGGAAAAACACGTCAGCCTCGTTCACATCGAGTCCCGCAAGTCCAAGCGAAGGGATTCAGACTTTGAGGTCTTCGTAGACTGTGATTCAGAGCACGAACAGCTGAAGGAGCTGACGGAGTTGCTGAGGAAGCACACGGAGATTGTTGAGATCACGCCGTCTGATGCCGCTCTGCGTGATGACGGTGAGTCATATTTTACTCCAGGCTGAACAGAATCAGACACTGAATACACCTGAAATCTTTCTTTCTTTGTGTAGATTTATAACTGGATGTTTATTTTAGGTGTGGATTGTATGCCCTGGTTTCCCAAGAAAATCTCTGACTTGGATCTGTGTGCCAACAAGGTTCTGATGTACGGCTCTGAGTTAGACGCAGATCACCCCGTATGTAGTCCTGCAGAGAAGCTATCATTTTTCTCTTTTCATACAAATATGTTTAATGCATGAAGTATGAGTAAAACAGGTTCACAGGTTACACTTTACACGAGAGTTTCACAGACAATATAAACTGAAGTTGTAACCACTGTTTCCACAGGGATTCAAAGACAAAGTGTACAGGAAAAGAAGAGAATATTTTGCTGATTTGGCTTTGAACTTCAAACAGTAAGTTCAAATGTCCCTTTAAACTTTTTAATTTTTTTATTTTTTTGCTTTTGCTTTGGCTTTTTCATTTGTTTTCAAATTTGTATACAAATCTATTGCTATTATTAAGTGTTTTTGGAGCAATAATTGGTACTGAAGCATCACACATACACACACCTGCTCACAACAGCTGAGAGTCAAAAGTAAAACAAAAGGTTGTAAACCTGAATTGATATTGCCTCCATAGTCAGTGTCTATAATGAATAAAATGATTATTTTTCATTTTGAAAATTCCCCGATGAGTTAAAAAAACAACTGTTTGCTATTTTTTTCTCACAAGGTTAGTTTTAGATGCAATTATTTATTTTTGTATCAGGATAAAAGACTCCATCATATTTATTCATACTGGCATAAAAACATTCTTGACATTTAGGTGAAGTAGTTAAACTTGGGTTAAATTATTACTATTATTATTATTATTATTATTATTATTATTATTATTATTATTATTATTATTATTATTATTATTATTATTATTTCTTTACAAAATTCAGTTTGTTCATATGAGGAGTCCTCAACATTCACCAGAGTGAGTCATGCTCCACTAATAAAACAGCCTGTTGGATTTACTTAAACAAATTATATTAACAGTACTCCACTTGAGTAAGTGTAAAGCTACTTTCACATTTATTTTTTAAAGAAAATGTGAAAGTTGGTTCTTGACATCGTTTTTTTTTTTTTTTGAGTGATATGGAGGTTCAGGGTTATGTTTTTGTCGGTTCCCCCATTTTTTTGTATTACTATCATTACTATCATGCTTTTTTATTGTTGTTGAATAAACTAAACAACAATCTGTTTTTCAGCTGTAATCCTATTCCTCGCGTGGACTACACAGCGGAGGAGGTGCGCACCTGGGGCATGGTGTTCAGGGAGCTCAACAAGCTGTATCCCAGCCACGCCTGTAAGGAGTACCTGAAGAACCTCCCGTTGCTGACCAAACACTGTCAATACAGCGAAGATAACATCCCTCAGCTGGACGATGTTTCACACTTCCTCATGGGTAAGAAAGAGGTCAACCTTAGACAGAACTGCAGGGAAGAGGCAATCGGACGTTCTCCTCAGGTGGAGGATCAAGCAGGACTAGAGAATATCTGGATGAGATGATGTCCCAATAAATATTCAACAACTGACACCGACAATATATTACTGTGTTATTACGTACAGTATATTCAGTATAGAGTAGTAAAGTTTGATTGTTTGTTCAAGGCTTGCTTTCTAGTCTACGTTTCTGTCTGCCTGTCTCGTTAACAGTGCTGTCAGGGCGTAACGGACATAGACATGTTGTTAGCATTGCTTAATGACAAGCTGGTAGCCGCTGGTAACACCCGTGAGAATTTTCTTAGAAATATTCTTATTTGGAAATGTTTTTTTTCCTGCAGTCATTTCTTACCTTTTCTAGAAAACTTTGTCTGTCTGTATTTTCTAAATTAATTAGATCAGTTTCTGTTTGTTTTTCTTTCTGTCCCTATCTCCAGAGTGCTCAGGTTTCACCATTCGGCCCGTGGCAGGCTATCTCTCCCCACGAGACTTCCTGGCAGGCCTGGCTTTCAGAGTGTTTCACTGCACTCAGTACGTCCGCCACAACTCGGAGCCGCTGTACACACCTGAGCCGTGAGTTAACACACAGGAACTACGCTCATCTGTCACTTACTGCTTGTTCTTAGGAAATCTGTGGTTTTCAAACCACGTGTGTGTCTGTGTGTGTGTGTGTGTGTGTGCATGGCTTTCCTGCAGGGACACGTGCCATGAGCTGCTGGGTCACGTTCCTCTGCTGGCAGAGCCCAGCTTCGCCCAGTTCTCCCAGGAGCTCGGTTTAGCATCGCTCGGCGCTTCAGATGAAGATGTTCAGAAACTTGCCACGGTGAGATGTTTGTTGGTTTACCTGGAATTTCTTTGCCCTCTTTCGTGCTACAATTAAAACAAACTGAGCCAAGATTTGTTGCAAATTTAAAAAAAAAAAAAAACAAAAGAAAGAAATGAATTTCAAGCCTGGCATAGCCATTTAAATTCCTGAAACTAAACTCCCGAAGGCCTCGCCAAGACCCTTCAAAGACCACCTGTGCTCAAGAGTTTTAAACATTGTAGTACGATCACCATCCAGTGTGAGGGGACCTTAGTGTTGTCTGTGATCAAATCCCTTTGGAGGCGTAGTTTTATGTTTGAACAATTGCCAGGACGAATGAGATGATGTCCTGCAGAGTTTTAGAGTAACTAAGTACAAATACTTCTTTACTGTACTTAAGTAGAATATTTGAGTAGCTGTACTTTACTTGTGTAATTATTTTCAGCCTACTTTTTACTTTTACTTCTTACATTTTCACACAATTATCTGTACTTTCTACGCCTTGCATTTTTAAAAAAAGGCAAGAAGTAGAAAGTTGTTACTTTTATTTTATTTTAGTTTGTTTTCATTCCAGCTTGTTATTGTAAAAAATAAATACTATCCATATAAATTGTGCCTCTTATAGAGTGAATTTAATTGTGGTTGAATGAGAAGTAAAAGTATATAAAATTCTGATACCATATTAGTTTGTACACAAACAAATCATGTCACACTGCAGCAGGACATAATCATTAAAATAAAAGTACTGTACTTAAGAAGTATTTGTATTTCATGAATTATATTATTGCATTTGGCCGCAGCCCTCAGATATATGTTCATTTTGGGGAAAAGGTTTGTGCAGCCTTGATATATGTATATAAACTGAAACAGCTGGACTAGTGCATCCTAAATTTTACATCAATTAATTATTTTAAAACAACAGTCATTTCTGCATTTTTTGGTGGAAGGTCACCTAATAAATGTCATTACAAAATATATCTACTCATTTTAAATCAATACTTTTACTTTTAATACTTAAGTACAAAAAATATCAGATACTTCAATACTTTTACTCAAGTAATATTACTAAAACAGACTTTAACTTTTACCAAAGTAAATTTTTGGTAAGGTACTTGTACTTTTAGTCAAGTATCACTTTGAGGTACTTTAYACAACACTGACGTCATCGTATTTGTCTGTTGCAGTTGTATTTCTTCACCGTGGAGTTCGGTCTGTGTAAGCAGGATGGGAAGCTAAGAGCCTACGGAGCTGGACTCCTCTCTTCTGCCAGTGAGCTCAAGGTGACATAAATCCTGCTGTCAGACTTTCAAAAGTTTGAACTCTGCTGCTAAACTTCCTCTTTTATCTAACTCGTTTTAATCTAACTGTCATGTTAAATAAGAAATAAAATACTGGATGTACAAAGTCAGTGTTTCTTCTTTCAGCACGCTCTGTCTGGCCGGGCCAACATCCTTCCATTTGACCCCGTACTGACCTGCCACCAGGAGTGCATGATAACCACTTTCCAAAAGGCTTACTTTGTTGCAGAAAGTTTTGAAGAAGCCAAGAACAAAATGAGGTGAGTATAGGAATACACCAAAGCTAATTTTATAGTCAGTTAAAATTGTTTTTTTAATTTGCTGTTCATTCTGAACACTGATGTCATCCAGCTCATGTGTCAAATTTAAGGCCCACAGGCAAAATGTGGTCCTCGTTGACAATTTATCTGGCCCCAAGGTTATAATTGTAATGTGAAATAGTTTCATCATTTTCTTTTCTTTTTTTTTGTCACTGTATTTTGTGCATTCTTCTCTTGTTGGTGGTCTTTAAATGTCTTTGTGTGTTCTTTTCTCATTTTAAAGTCAAATAATTGGATTTACTTGGGAGGGTTTTCCTTTTTTTAACTTATTCGCTGGATCTAGATAAAATGTACTGCAAAATCTTTTCAAATGTAATATTTTTTCATTATCATTTAGGTTGTGCATGTTCTAAATGCTTTGTAAATTTAATATGGAAAATGGTTATTTGTATTTCTATGAGAATATAATTTTTTTCGATAAATTTTGACTGAAATTGACCCTTGGCTTGGACCAAGTTTAGAATTTTTGCCTAGATGCAATGTGAAAAGTTACAAGAATCTGGATATAAAAACTTTGATCAAACTTAATTTTTGCACAATAAAAGTGGCAATAAATCCTGGAATTTTTATTTTCTCCAAGAGATGATCCTCTAATTTCCTTGCAATGAAACTTGTTGATTTTCTTCTATGTTGTTGCAGTGATGTCAACAACTAATCAGAGTTGATCGTGGAAATCTCTGTGCTTTGCTTGCAGGGAGTTTGCCCGGACTCTTAAGCGTCCGTTCACAGTGCACTACAACCCGTACACCCAGAGCGTGGACATCCTGAAGGACACCAGCAACATCAACAGCATGGTGAAAGACATTCGRCACGAGCTGGACATCGTGGAAGAGGCCCTGAGCCGTCTCTGCAAGCACCAGAGAAACTGAAGAGTCGGCACCATCTCATGAAAGTCTGCATAGGAAATCAAACCCACTTAACTGTGTTACTGTGGTTAGCTTTGGTCATCTAAAGCCACAAACTTAGATTTAGACATTAAAAAACATGCTGTGTAGTAAAGCCAGAACACTGAAAACCATGCAGTTTCGGTAGAAAAATAGATTTAGGTTTTTAAATACACATTGTTTTGTGTAGGGTTTGAAAAAATACACATTTAGGTCAAGGCAGTGTGAGGATCTGTGCTTGATTTCCCTTTTTTGTGAGTTTCTCTATTTACCTCCTGTATTTACATCCCTCTCCACTCTGGCTCCGCCCACATTTACATGATCCTTGTTTTTTCCTCAGGTGTGGCTTGTTACCCCTTTGTTAGCTTCTCTTTATTTGGTGTTTTGTCTCCTTCCCTGTCAGACCTTTGTACCTTCTAAGGCCCGTTTAGGTTTGTTCACCATGTTTTGTGATAAAGTTCTTCTACTTTGTCAGCGTTTTTCTTTTTAATAAATCGTTTTTGTTTTAATCTTTGGGTTTTTGCCTGTTTTAGTCAGCAGCTTGGGTTTTTATGGACACAATCCAGAAAAAAAAAAAGGCAGTATTATTGGAGTCTACATGGAAGGTTATGGCATCAAAAACATAAGTGAAGAAAACGATAATGGCTAAACCAAAATGTTGTTCTGGAATGTTCACCACCTCTTTTATTTTATCATTATTATTGGTGTTGCCAGGCTGCCATTCCTATCTGAACAATTTGTACAAATACATATTAGTTAATCTGCTCAAACATGGCAACAATGATAAAACAAACAGGAAAGCATTCTAGCTCTGCAAATAATTTCACAAAAGGCAGGGATTGTTTAATCAACTATTAAAAGTTTCTATTTCCTTTAAGGATACACCAATGCAAACAATTTAACTCATACAACATTTTTTTGTATCTACAAATGTGTTCTGTGTGTGTGGTTTGAGATGAGACTTGGTAACCCTACAAGGAACATTAAAGTTCAAAATGGAAGTAATTTGGCATGTGTTGCCATAGACAATAATGTCATGTTGATCAATACTTACTTTTTGCGTTTTGTTTTATGTGATATAAACTGTTGTTAAAAATATAATATTAAAGCTTTAACTCCTGTTGCAACAGTTATTGTTTATTGCTGCCAATTAACAGTAATGATGCCTCCTGCGGATACTTTTTGTGTCACCTCTGTCAGGAAAGCAAACCAGGTCCATAGCATATTCGAAGTTTATATACAATGTTTTACATTTACAGCAGAAAACGCTGAAGAGATCCAAGTCAGTAAAGTGTTTTTAACAGAGTTTTGAACACCTTCCGAAGTTCCTGGCTTGAACCAAACTCAGGCAATAAAACATGAGCCACTGCTGTTAGTGTCTAACACGCTGTGGGATAGAAAACTTGAAGTGTAAGGCTAATGTGTTTGCTGTCAGAACCAAAACAGAAAGGATGCAACAGTTTTTGCCTGATACTCACAAGTTACAATCAAGTTGCTGTGGAGTAACTATTGAATATGTGTCTCTTTAAAGGGATCCCCGATTAGTTGTAACATTAGACTTTATTTAATAAACATATTTAACTGTAAAATAAATACTGTAAAAACACTGTAGGATGTTTAGTTTTTATAATTTTTAAACTAAAAGTTTAAAAATATATCACATGGACGGGGCCATTTTATTTACATGCAAAGCATTCTGGGTAAATGATGACATGGGTAGGTCATCGGTGAGAGGCTGCTAGTGAGCTATATCCACCCTGAAGGTTAATCTTGGACAATATCAGACGATTGGCTCTTTTAAATGAAACCAGAGAGCGTTGACAGAGAGGAGAAGGTAGAAATGACAGCCTGTTACTGAAAATATAGATGGAGGACCTCAGTTTAACTTATTTGTCGCGCTAGCGCTGAGCTAATACATTTAAGGCAATATAGCGTCAGTGCTAGCACAAAGGCTAACAGGCTAAGCTGAAGTTCTTCTTCCATGAAGCAGCTCTGTTGTCCTTAAAATTTACAAAACTAAACAGCCTACAGTATTTTTACAGTCTTTATTTTACAGTTAAAATATATGTTTATCAAATAAAGTCTGATGTTACAACTAATCTGGGATCCATTTAAAGGTGTAGACAAATGTTAGTCAAATTTAAAGACTGGGGGTAATTCATAAACACAATACTAGTGTGATTTGACAACATTATCAGTAGCTCAAAACAAATCCTGAGAATCAAGTATGGCAAGACAATAAGGAATAAGCTACTGATCAAAGGTCTCCTAAATTAAAGCATTCTGTGCACCACCTTGATTCAGAAGCACCATTACATTTTAAGAATTACTTCTTTGAGGGGTACTTGTAATTTTTGATTTAATTTGTATCTTTCCATTATTACTCCTCAGTTTTCAAATAAATACCTCTGGTTATACTGTATATATTGCTTTTACAAGTACCACAATGGATTTTTTTTCTCTCTCTCTCATTCCTTCATTGTGTTGTTGCAACAGTTCAGCCCAGGCAAAGGGAACAGGAAATGATTCTCTCTTACACAGTGCAATTCAGTTTCTCTCTCTTTCTGTTTTTGGAGCCTATACAAAACTCCAACCAGAGCCTTAACCATTACCAATACACACCTAACCCTAACCTAAAGTCAGTGTACACCTCAGCCCTCAACCTAACACTTAACCCAACAATGATAATCCACCAGGACCAGACTTTGCTTCACATAATCATTATACTGGTCTAGACAGAGAAGAGGTGCTAAAAAGAAACAAAAATACACAAAGAGAAGTGTTTGTACTCTAGTCCAGTGGTTCCCAAACTTTTTATCTTCTGACCCACAAAATATCCATGGCAAAAACTTGTGACCCCAAATATTACTGGTCTGAGTACACAAACTTTGTTAATAACCCTAAAAACACAGGCT